GAATAGTTTGACGAGGGCTGATACCGCACACCTTCGGTCATTAGGCAGGCTGATTAAAGTGGTAATCCACCCGCTCACTGACCGCAGCCAATGATGTGCGCCTTCGGTTTTCTAATGGGAACCGTCTTTTTACAATCAGTTCACTGTGTGACGTTAAGGAATTCCATGCTAACAAATTGAAGTCCCGCAGTGGACTGATCGTTAAGACACGGTTCCCAGCAGATCACCGAAGTCAAGCATCACTGGCTGCGGTCAGTGTGTGGGTGGGTGACCACTTGGATCAGTCAGCGTAGGGACCGAGGGTGTGCGGTATTGGTCCTCGCTAAACTGTGCTACCGTAAAGTGCTCGACTTCGCGTGCAGGTAGTTGGGCTACCGAAGCGGGGGTGCCATCCCCTCTTCAGAGGATCAAAATTGTGATGGCAAGTCTTCGGATCATCCTCAGGGATGTTTCCCAGACCAATAGCCCATTGTGCAGCTCTAGTGCGACGTAAATGAACTACAACAACAAATTGAAATTGTTAAGATTTTTCTTAAACTTTTTGATACGAACTCGCGATAATCTCTGTCACAGTACTGCTGCAGTTTGCCAACCTTCTCGACAGAAATTTCTCAAAAACGAATCATTATTGTTATTTGAATATTTATTGGAATTACATACATCTGCAGGTTTGTGTGCTCATTTAAGCTAATAAATCTTCGCCAAATAGAAGGAGAGATAGCACAATATATAGAAGAACAGCACGTCGATACATCCAGGATAAGAGCGGGATTCGAGCCAGCTTCCTCCACGCTTTGCACAGCGTTTTTCGAGTGATACCGCTCAGACAGGGGGGCCCCATCATCATTGTTAAAAAGATTGATAATGCGGTTTTGAAGTAAAATCGATATATTAAATAGTTATTTCAGCTCAAAATATTTATCATTAATAAATGAGCTAATATTTTTCTAGAGAGCGTTTAGTAAAAGCTGCAGTTTTTCAGTGATTTCGAGTCCCGCAGTGGACTGATCGTTAGGCACAGTTCCCCGCAGATCACCGAAGTCAAGCATCACTGACTGCGGTCAGTGTGCGGGTGGGTGACCACTGCGGCGGGGGTACCGAAGCGGGGGTTCCATCCCCTCCGCAGAGGATCAAAATTGTGATGGCATGTCTTAAGATCATCCTCAGGAATGTTTCCCAGACCGTCGCCAATAGCCCATTGTGCTGCTCTAGTGTGACATAAATAAATACCTACCTACCTACCTATCAAAGTAAATTTTATATGTTCTTGGCATGTAGTACTTGTAGTTGAACAGACAACACTTGTTGGAGAAGGACATCACATGGATGCATTCAAGATATCGTCGGTATTCGAATCCAATACTTCCACGCTGCAGAATAATTGGTATAACCTAGAGACCACTAGGCCAGGGAGGCCCCGTTAAAGTAAATTCCTGTTGGCAAAGATACAGATGAGTAAAGAAAGCAAGAGACAAACAAAATAAAACCAGGATCAAATTCGTTTTATTAGGCCTTGGAAGAAAACTAAAGCTCACAAGTGAAAAAATAGAAATAACGTTACTGTTGGATCAAGTCGCAAGCTTTATGGCGACCTAAAAAAGTACTGTACTGTACCTTTAATGATTTGGGGAACGAACTGCTGACCTCCTCATATGCAAGTTGTCGGAAATTTACCTCGGCTTCTTTTCTTTCTGCTGTGCCAGTATTAAATTAATAAAAAAAGTGTGATTTCTGAAATAGAGAAGAGTGCAGATTAGTAGCCTGATTACTTTTAAGAGTAACAAAAGTTAGTATCTGAAGTTTCATCAAATTGTACTTGAGTAATAAAGTAAGCGTAATTTTAAAAAGAATAATCCACAGTACTTTAACTTAGGATTCCATTACAAACTGTATGTCTTAGGTCAGTGCTACCAAGTTCATTAGGACTAGTTAATTTACTAGCTAATTTCTCACTGCTGAATATTTGAAATGTTGAATAGGCACTTGGTTCAAGTTCTATCGAAAACCGAGTATCATAGAATAATTGCAGAATTGAAATAGGGCCAATACAACAGGAAAAGAGTATGATTTTAGTCAAAAGACTACTGTCATGCATTATAGTCAAGCGCATTTTTGCATTGAAAAAGTGCTTGATTCTATTGTAAAGTTCTTCGTTGACTATGGGACATGAAACTATTAGCACATACTTTCGCAATAATAGTTTAAGAATTTTTTTTCCCGTTTGTTAGAACTTAAATGAAATTTTGAAGCTTGAAGGACATTTTTAAAAACAGATTCTAATTCCTGAAAACACTGAAATTTTTTGAACGAATTTAATTATTTTCCCCGAGTTACCCGGGCAGAACAGTATCGCCCACCAAATGCTCTGTAGCGTGAAGGAGCGGGTTATAATCCCAAGGTAACATTGGGTGTATCTTCGTGCTGTCCTTCTCTAAATTGTAGGGGAGAGTGGGGTCAATTGTAACATTTTTTACCTAACTATTTTTAACTAACAAAAAATCCAATATATTATTAGCATTAATTGACAGACGAGTAAAGTAGTCTATCCTCTACTGGAAAAAAAAATACCGGATTTTAAATGTTATTATATTAGTTATTAACAATTTTTGACAGTCGTGCACTTGTTACAATTGTCCCCACTTACGGGGTCAATTGTAACAGCTCATAAATTCAATTAAAACATAGTTAATCATAGTTGTGATACATATTATCATAGTTGTGATATATTTTTTTATTGATCAAAGTAGTAGTGATATTTTAGGAGTAAAAATAATAATGAGCGGAGACCTAAAGGGTTAAACTTTTAACTTTAGGGGTTTAAAATTTTTAATTTATGCTGTGAAAGGTGACAAATAAAATAATGCACATGCAAAATAATATAAATGATATAGAAAACTATTGGTGGTTCTTAAAGATTTAAGTAATGGTTTGTAAACATAAGGTTATTTATTTTTAGCTGTTACAATCGTCCCTTTACTTATTGTTACAATCGTCCCTAAGACGCCAATTCAGCTTTATTTGTTAAAAACATTGCTAGTTAATAAAAAAAATTAATTCTTTTTTATTGAAATGTTAATTAAGGTGTCCACTTACATATTCGGTTAATAACTTTTATTTGTTTAAACAGAATTACTTTGTTACAATATAATATTCTAATACCAAAAAAAGTACTTACGTAGCTTGAAAATATCTTTTGTGATGTAACTCTTTCAAAAGTACATTAAAATGGTTGCCAGCAGGGGTGTACATGTAGATTTATTAAATACACCTTGTGCGCCACCTAGGAACCAAATCTAGAACACGACGCTCGAAATTTTTGCTCTGTTACAATCGTACCTTGTTACAATTGACCCCACTCTCCCCTACTATTTGTCTTTCTGCTTGACAAAGGCCTATAAGCAGTACTTATGTAATTGAGCACACTTGTTTATTTATAGGCGTGTACATACATGTAGTTGTTGTTGCTGTTGCTAATTTACGTCGCACTAGAGCTGCACAATGGGCTATTGCCGACGGTCTGGGAAACATTCCGGAGGATGATCCGAAGACATGCCATCACAATTTTGATCCTCTGCGGAGGGGATGGCACCCCCGCTTCGTTAGCCCGACGATCTGCGCGTGAAGTCGAGCACTTTACGGTAGCACAGTTTAAGGAGGACCAAAACCGCACACCCTCGGTCCCTACGCAGACTGATCCAAGTGGTCACCCACCCGCACACTGACCGTAACCAGTGATGCTTGACTTCGGTGATCTGCTGGGAAGCGTGTGTGTACATACATGTAGGCTTGTGTTCTAAATTACTTAAGTACGGCTTATAATCCGCTGCCAAGTTTAAACATAGTCAGCACAATTCAGATCAGGAAATAGCGAAGATCAAACGCGTCGAATAGCTCCTAAGAAATAGAATTTTAAATATATAATGCTTTTTTAAAGCTCTATATCTCAAGAACTATCCAAGCAATTTTGCTCACATTTTGTTTTTAACATACACACGCATGAAATACGAAAAATGTCGCGAGAATTTTCTCAATCTACATTTTTTATGGCTCGGAGGATAGAGCTTTTGCCTTCTAATGAGGTGACCCGAGTTCGAATCCCAGCGATGACTGATTGATAAGAAACTCGCACCCTTCTTGCACTGGCCACAGTGTTGACGTAAAATATCCTCAGTGGTAGACGGATTATGAGTTAGGGTCCCATTGCCGTCAGGATAACCGTGAGAGGTTTTCGTGGCTTTCCTCTCCATGTAGCACAAATGTGGGTTATTTCCATAAAAAAGTCCTCCACTAAGGCAAACTTCTCCCAATACTTGATCCAAGAGTTCCCTTGTCTTCTGGATTGGGTTCAAAATTGGAAGGCTTCGGAGTTAAACATTAGTAGTCGTAATCCCAAAAAACTGACTTCAACGACGGCTATTAAATATAAAAAAAATCTACGTTTTTTTGTCTCATATCTAAAGAAAAAATATCATTCAAGACTTTAATTGAAAAAAAATGTTACCTTTTATTCTTTTTTACTTAACTTTGATGAATAAGAAATTCTTAAAAATCTTAAGATTGACAGTTATATTTTTGGGGTATCGTGAATTATGGTTATTTTATCTAATTTTATCTAATTGGTAAATAAACTAGTTAAGCAGAACTCGAAAAATTATTAATATGTTAGTTATTAAAAAAGTATGTTCCTGAGAAACATGTTTCTAAAGTTCCCTATGAGATCGGTTCACCACATTTCATAAAGAAATCCCCACCTTTTTTAAATTGTAAATTAAAGTCTACAACATCAGAAGATATTTCCTCTTTTTTTAATAATGTTTTTCTACGTTGGTATCGCATATTGTTTCTCAATAGTGAAACTAAAAGTTCCGATTGAATAAGTTTCTTTTGAAGAGAAAATATTTTTCGGAGAAGAAATAAAAAAAAGAAGAAAATCTTTGGGATTCAAATTCAATTCAAATGAAGAGAGCGGTGGTGAAATAACATCAATTAGCTGGGAAAAAAATTGAAGGAAAAGAAAAGGAAAAAAAAAGAAAAAAAGAAAAGTGTTCGATACTTCGTATTGACGGAAAGGTAAAATAATTTAGAATGCAAAAGAGAACAGAATCAAGCTCGAAAAGCGAAGGTCCAAGACGAGTAACAGCCATGCGATTGATATGGGGGTAAAGGAATTTTTTTATTATAAATTTTTTGGATATTTTTAATGCGTTTTAAAAATTCTTAAAATTATGACTCATTTATTTAAAAAAATTATGAAAACATTAGGCACTTTATTAAAAAAAATATTTTAATGTTTTTAATGAGGCAAAAGTTAATATTGTAATAGGAATTATTTTCTGAACTCTTATATTAAACTTCTCGATAGTTCCTTTATGCTTTAGAAAATTTAAATGTTCCTAATTTTCTGAACTAACTTCCTTGAATACATGATTCTAAAGAGGAGTTAAATCTGAAAAAAGATAATTTGTTTAAAAAGTATAAAGAAAGAAAAGAAAACATGACGCTCATTTATTGAAACAATGATGTAACTGATAATTAGAGTAATTATCAGTTACGTCATTGTTTCACCAAATAAGATATAAGAAATGTTAATATTTAAGCGAAATCTAAATCTATGTTATTATTCTTTTTGATTTAACTGTTACTGAAAATTTTTCTATGGTAAAAAATTTATTTCCAACAAAAACGTTCTTTTTATTAAATGTTATGTACATTTAAAATTTAAAGTACGAAAGCTTTTTTTTTTATTAAATTTGCTTAGAAATCATAAGTATTTTTGGCGATCAAATTTTTCCCACCGAATATGTTTTACCTTTTGGTGAATGTTAAGAATATTTAAAATTTAATGAATAGTAAATTCATTTTCAAATTAGGTTTGAAAATCATAATTATTCAATGATTGAAAATATATTTCCAACAGAAATTTTCTTAATTTTTTACTTATCCCGGGAGGATGCAAGCCTTTTAAACGAGCGGTTATATTCAAGCACAATCTGCTCAAAACGTTTTTGTGTTTTTTGGAAATATAAAACTTTTAAACTTATACGTTGACTACAAATTGCTTAATTATTTGCTTCTTACTCTTCTTTGTGCTGTGAAATTTTATAAAACGTAATAATATTTACTTCTTCGATAATTATCATATAAACTATTATATTAACTCCATATGATTGTTTTCTCCAAACATGAATGCATATTTCAAATTTTATTAATATTTCCGTTTCTTGGAGACAAATACATTGTGCGACAAATAAAAATATGTATAAATAAATCAAATGTTCCTTGCAAACAAAATATACGCACAAATTGTAGGTTTCAGTAATTAACTATTTCTAGGGCAAAATTCTTTTTGAAGCAATTTTTAATTTCAATTTTCGCACGTGTGCCGACGTTGATCACAAATAAGTAAAAAAGACAGATCATTGATGAAGTGTCGTCGGTTTCTTTATAGTTAGTGGATTTTTGTTTGATTTCAAAGCAGTTCTTGCAATTAATGCTGCAGAACTTTCATTAACCTTGCTAACAAGTAGGATCACTTTGATTGGAAATGAAAAATAATATTACACATTAAAACACATTAGCTGTGAAAAAATAAAACACAAGAGTAAAACACATTAGCCATGAGAAATAAAATCCTTTTCGGAAGTCGAGCGAGGTCATTGCCAGATTCTAGTAACTGATAAAATCCGAATAGAAGAAAGGAACATAACGGAAATGTCCTATAATTATTCAAAAAAGACAGATAAAGATGGAAAAATCAGCTATCAATAGAAAATGTTTTCTAAGACTTCTGGAATGCATGGAGTCATAAAATGACCCCTGCTAGTCCTGTTGAGTTAAATGTTAAAAATATATTTTTATTCTAATGGACAAAAATTTCAGTGTTATTTTGGTATAAAAATTATACTTCATTCTTCTTAAAATGCTTTTCTTAAACTAAAAGCCAAGATTTTTCTTCAAGAAGAAATGTCAACAAATTTTCAATTGAATATGAAACAATCCATTAGTTGTCTGCCATTCGATTTGTTAATGAGAAATTAATCAGATTCGAAATCCTCATACCCGAATCAGGCTATATCAGGTATTTACATAAAAACAACAAAAAAAGAATTCTTTCGTAGAGCAATCATTCTTACTACACACAATTATTCATTGAATATTATTATAAATATTGTTTTTAACAATTATCCTTACAGTTTTTAAAAGGGAACTATGCCAATTGTTCAGAATAACTTACAGCAAATTAAAATTTATTCAGGATATATGAAACAATAGCTGAGGAGTAAAAATTTAGTTATTTCCTGAATGGAGCTCGGAGTGAAATAATTATATCATTATTACTCTCTATTGCTTCATCAACAATTGTTGAATATAGGAATTTTTTTTTTAATTTCATCACACAAGTTCAATCCACTATAGAATGTTGGGATATTATAAATAAATAGAAACAGTCTCAATATGTTATGTGTATAAAACATTTCTTTGAGTCACAACTCTTTGAAAAGAATATATTGTTAAATAAAATTTAATTATTCTTCTAATATTTAAATATACCGCAATTTATTCTGTAAATGAGGGGACTAAATTAGATATTGTATTCCAAATGTCTTTTTTTCCAGTTATTATAAATTATAATAAATTTTGTCTCAATTAAACAAAAGGTGAATAGTATTTTTTCTGAATTTATTTACATAAATAAAACCAACTTGGTGAAATTTTTGTAAATGAAAATAACAAATTGCAATTTTTTGACAAAATGAATTTTATGTAAATTTATCGTTAAAATATTCATTAGCAACTATTTCCTAATATTTTTCTTTCTTCTTTTTAGATTAGTGCAATTTAAATTTTTGTGAAAAAAGAATATTAGAATTATTGTTACATATTAATCAATAATTGATTATTAGTCAATATTTGATTATTAGTCAATATTTGATTATTAGACAATATTTGAGTGTCCCCATAAACTATGATGGGCATTTAAGGGCGCATTGATAATTATTTCTGCAGATTGATTGTGTGTTTGCATTAAAGATGTAAGTTCTATTGCATCCTTCAATACACCTGAAAGTGGATAGCAATAATGACAGATTTCGGTTTATATACCTCTTGATATGTAATGATATATTATGAAAAGATGTTATATGTTGAAAAATAGAAACTGCACTGTAAACTAATTTGTGGGATATTGATAATCTTCAAAGCATTTTAATTGATAAATTTTTTTACAGTGTTGATTAAAATTCCAGTTCATAAAAATTAAAAAGAATATAAGTTAAGAAAAAAGAAAACAGTTATGTTAAATTACGAAACTAATTTGTTGATTGATGTTTGCGGCATTATTCGTTGCTTAGAAGAGTATTATATTAAAACTAGGAAGCGTCGCCCCCTGCTCGCTGACTCTCGCCAACCCCCGGAACTGGTTTCGCAGTTCATTTCGGATTGCTTCGGATCATTTCGGATCGCTCATTGGATACGTTCCCACTGAGTGAACACTGAAGTTCCGAAAACTTTTCACTGTAGAAATTTCTAAACGTGTGTTTTCAATATTAATTTGAAATTGCAAACAGTTCACATATTTTTCTTAATCACACTATTCTAAATTTCAGTTGTTGAGAAAAGTAACTGTTGTAAGTTTTGTTTTAAAGTCTTTCCCACCGGAGGGCTAAAACCATGTGTTGTAAAACAATATGAAATAGTACTGAACGCCGGATGTATAGCATCGGCTTCGATGAAGATAGTTTTGTGAGAATTTTTTTGATAATTCGGTGAGAATTCACCCGATTAGACATATGATGCTCACTACGTGCTCTTGCGCGCCGAAGCCTATCAATTAAAACGTATTAGCGTTTTATATAATATAGATTAGCCATATGATGCTCACTATGTGCTCTTGCGCGCCGAAGCTCAGCAATTAAAAATAAAAACTGTTGCCAACGCGAGAAAAATATCATCGGTTTCATTGATACATACGCATTAGCGTTTTATATAATACTAGGAGGCTTCACCCCCTGCTCGCTGATGCTCACCAACCCCCGGAACTGCTTTCGCTGTTCATTTCGGATTGCTTCGCAATCCGATGCTCGCTTTGCTCGCTCAATGGATACGTTCTTAACGTCNTTACGGAGGAGAGGGGAGCTTTTAAATATGCAACCTCTTCTTGCATCTGCTCCCATCAAAACCTTGTATCATGTAGGTGCTAAAGGAATCGCCTGCAAAGGGAAGTAGTATTCTATGTTCAAGAAACAGATCTTATGACGTCATAGATGATGTCACTTCTGACGTCATAAGAATTAAAAATGACAGCGGGAATGTTTCACTGCCGACGCACGGCCAAAATCGTTATTGTCAGTTTATTTCAGTGAGGAGCAGGAAAATAAGGGAGTTATAAATCTCATCTTAGTCATAAAATCATAGTAGCATCTCTCCGTGAAGAAGTAAGGAAATAGAAAATATTAAATTATAATAATGTTTTTCATTGTTTACGGAAAGAGGGACAAAAGAAATAAATACTTTTGCTTTGTTTTATATAATACTAGGAGGCTTCGCCCCCTGCTCGCTGGCGCTCGCCAACCCCAGGAACTGCTTTTGCAGTTCATTTCGGATTGCTTCGCAAACCGATGCTCGCTTTGCTCGCTCATTGGATACGTTCTTAATGTCTAGCTTTTGTATACTTTTTTGAACACTGAAGTTCCGAAAACTTTTCACCGTAGAAAATTCTTAACCTGTGCATTTCAATATTAATTTGAAATTGAAAACAGTTCGCATATATTTCTTAATCACACTATCCTAAATTTCAGTTGTTGAGAAAAGTAACTTTTGAAAGTTTTGCTTCAAAGTCTTTCCCACCAAAGGGCTAAAACCATGTGTTGTAAAACAATATGAAATAGTACTGAACGCCGGATGTAAAGCATCGGCTTCGATGAAGATAATTTTGTGAGAATTTTTTTTGATAATTCGGTGAGAATTCACCCGATTAGACATATGATGCTCACTACGTGCTCTTGCGCGCCGAATCCTATCAATTAAAAATGAAAACTGTTGCCAACGCGAGAGAAGAAATATCATCGGTTTTATTGATACATACGTACGTGTTAGCGTTTTATATAATAAGATAGATAGATTTATTTTTAATACAATTGCTTATACATTTGCTAATAGTTGAATTCTTTTGTTGGTATCAGAGTAGTGTTAAGTCTTTTTTTATCTCGTTTCCAAACGCTCATATATAAGATGCACAATTTATATCTGATACATAGTGATTTGCTTCTTAGTTTGTATTATGTTTGTGATTGTTAAAATCGTAATTCCTGCAAAGGTCTTCATTTTTATCACAATTATCTATTGACGAGATTTGCGGTTGTTGACGCAATTTGCGCATGCTGTTTCGCGTTCATTTTTTTATTATGTTACCTTAGAAAAATGTTTCTCCTTATGATTACTAATTTTATGTCCATAAAAGTCGAGTTCCTATTTTGAATTAATCTTTCTCCTAAGCGGACACCTTTCTTTAACAAACAATTTCTCGGTTCCAAAGGTGCTCACTAATATTTCTCCGTATTAAAGTTTTGTATAAAAGTAGTAGCCCCCAAAGTCGATATTTTAGCTTGATTTTGAAGAAACTGATGAAATACAATTCCAAAACTACAACTACTTTTATGAATATTTTTATGGCTACAATAAATTCAAATATAACAGCGTCAGATACCTGGTAAAATTGGCTGGGTTAGGGTACCCGATACCGAGTTTTGGGACTAAAAATCGGTTCTAAGTAAGCAGTACTGGACAGTGAAATTTTTTTAATGAAAATTTGACCGGTTAGGCCAAGTACATAGAAGTTATCGGGTACCCGCTGTGCATGATTACGCAACAACAAGCCTCCCTCTCTAGTCCTTCCATTCCAAGATGCTTCCTTATAGGAGGAAACTGATTCATATCGTTTAAGGGTGTAGAAAGGTAAAAGATGCATGCTAGCATTTTTTCCGAAATAGTAACAGCAGGCAAAATTTAATTTGATTTTAGAATTCAAAAATCGAAATCTAATTATTACCTTAGTGATAAAAAAATGTCTTTAAAGAGCACTTCGACTTTGCGTGTTTGCAGCATGCTGTAATAATTTCTATAACTGAATTTGGGAGTGTTTTGTGTTCCCAAGGACGAATTTCACACATTTTACATTTGAAAAAGAAAATTTTATGAATGAATTATCGGACACAGGCCTTCACGCATAAAATAAATTATTCGTGTAAAGAATACCACGTAAATATATGCGGGTAATGTCAGATTACCTTGAACTTAAAATATAGTAATGTGGTGCATTTTATATCTTTCTGAACCTACAAAGAAAGCCAACAGTTCACTTCCCATATGGAGGTAGCTTAGAATTGAAGGATTTGCAATACACGTCGCTTGTTGTTTTGTAATTTTACACCCCGTTAATTTTTGGTCTTCATGTCATACACTTCAAAATTTTTTGTTAACACTAGATAGAACCCTTATCTGAAATTAAAAAGAAACTATGAAATATTCGAAATATTTTGTTAATATTCATAGTTAGTGTAAGTAATCTTCATTCATACTACAGGTCCGTGATTACTGTTTTTCAATTGTGTTTGTGGGTGAATTGCCATGCACCCAATCGAAGACCCTTTAGCCATAGAGGCTGGCAGACGCCAGAAGACATTTTGGCTAGACACTTCACCTCAAATTCTGTCCGACAAGCTTTCAGTATAGCTAAAGATGCCATCTCAGCTCGACACTCCATAATAGATGGAAGAAGTAAGTATTAAAAAGAATTTCAACTTTTTCTATAGTTCGATATAAATAGATATAGAAAACGGTGCTGAACTATAAAATATGCACCGATACAACGTTACAAATAGATTGCAATCCACAAAACATAAGCGAACCACGCTTGAATAACTTTTGAACTAATGATCGGATCTTCACGTTCTGTAACTCAAGGCGTATTTTTAAAATTCGATTTCTCAGGAACTATTCAACCACTTTCGCTCAAATTTTGTATTTTGTTATTTAAAATTACTTTTTAAAAATGATGCAAAAAAATTGCATACCTTGCAAATTCAAAAGATTTCCAACTAATATTAACTAATATAATAAAAAAATAATAAATATTTACTGAAATATATAATTTGCAATCTTTGGATAAACAAATTTTACAATATTATTTATTTTTTAAAAAGTTCTTCAGATACGATGAAATAAGCAAAAAAGAAAATTAACATTAAGTGGCGCAAATTTTGGCTGACTCTTCTGACCAAATTATTGGGACCATATTTCCCAAATTGCAGCTATTCCCAATACTTTGGGGTCCGAAATCCGAATCCATCCAAAATAAGGTATTCTGATGTTTATTCTGAGAAAGTACGTTTTTGTGTCTGATTTCGTACCGTAAAAATAACGTCAGCATTGATTAATTACCACATTTGAGATCACCTCGTTAAACCTTTCAGATTGAGTCCTTGAGCGTGGAAATCCAACTAATAAATCAAAAGTTATTCAGAGTGGTCCGTTTTTTTTGTTTTTCTTTAATTTTATAGCCAGCGCTGATCAGCCGAACCATTTTGGGGCTTACTGCTCTCAATGTTTATCTGTGTAGCCTTGTTATTTTAAACCCTACCCAGAAGATGCGGAAATTCCTAGATCAAGTATTGGGAAACTATCCATCCTGGAGAACTTTCTGATTTCCAACGAGTATTTGCATTACATTGAGAGGAAAACCTAAACCTTCCAAGTTTAGTCCAGTGACAAGGGGAATCTAGTCCACAATTCGTATATCACTGAGGATATTCTTTGTCCGCGGTGAGATTGGTGTAAGCCAGGAGTAAACTTCATATCGACAAGCCATCACTGGTATTCGTACCTGGGTCACCCCATAGGAAAAGAAGCGCTGTGTCCCTTGAGACACAGCGGCTCTATGCAAAAGGTTCTTGTAACCCGTTCGCTTGATAATTTTTTTATCAGAAGGAACAATATTTTATTCCTTTTTCAAAATAGGGTGCAATGGTAAAGTTTTCTAGGCAAAAACAAACTAAATATCATACCTTATACTAACAATAAGTACGAATTTATAAGTTTTAATCTAGTTTTCCTCGTATTAATGAATGTAATAAGTTTGAAGAATGCGCTGTCTATTAAACTTTTAAATAAACTTATAGTGAGTACAAGGTTCTAGTTCATTTACGCTGCTCTAGTTCTAGTTCATTTACGTCGAACTGTATCTGTACAATAGACTATTAACGACGGTCAGGGAAACATCCTTGAGGATAATCCGAAGATATGCCTTCACAATTTTAATTTCAAGAGGGGATGGTACCCCGCTTCAAAAGCCCGACAACCTACGCGGGAAGTCGAGCACTTTTCGGTAGAACAGTTTAACGAGGACTAATGCAGCATACCCTCTGACCCTACGCATGCTGATCCAGGTGGTCACCCACCCATACACTGACAGCAGTCAGTGACTTCGGTAATCTGCTGGGAACCATATCTTATGGATCAGTGAGTACAAAGGAAAGACGGTTAAAATAACCATTCAGTAAATGTTATATATTTTAATTGCAAACAAATAATATTGTATGTTTTCATTACAAGCACTAATAAAATAATTCCAATTGATGGATCTTCATTTTAAATAAAAAGACAAAACAAATAAATGAGCAATTCAAAATGAGTTAAAGTGCACCATTAAAGTTGTGCGGGACATTTTATCTAGTTTTCAAACTTTAAGAGATTTGTTCCAAAATGGAACCAGAAAGTTTTTAAAATTCTTGAGAAGAAAAAGCTACTGTCTATAATTTAAGCTATTGTTGAATAATTCATTAGTAATATTTTTATTTCCAAAGGTCTGACACCCGATCCCAAAAGAGATGTTCCATCAGCTCGTCATCAACATTTCCAAGGTATTCATGGCCGTGCTGCACTGTCAGAAAGTCTGCAAGAACTGTTTGAAGAAGGGACTAAGATTTTGCTAGACAGGTAAGAAAACGGGTATTTTGAAATTCGCTCACACAGAAATCTGCACTTTGACTTGTAATTCATTCTTGACCACAGCATTTTCTTAGTATACAGAATAAGTCTTTCAAGGAAATGCGATTTCCTAAATTTCTATAGTATACACCTTCCCGTTACCATCAAAAAATCAAGCTTTTCCCCCCTTGCCAGCATATACCCACTTCTAATTAACGTGAACTGCCAAAGGGAAAAGCTAAATGGTAATGAAGAGATAAAAAGTAAGGGGACTGGGGATAATACATTACCATGCGATGCTTATACTATTTACAAATGGAATAATAACTAATTATTTATTATTACTGACGGGATAAATCCTTCTGAACACATAAAATCCCAGGCTCAGTATGTTGGAATATTGCATGTCTTTGTTTTCGATTCTATAAGTCCCCCAATGGAATGTTCATAAGAAGCGGTTCCTAGAAAGTTGCCGAAGTCAAGCATTACAGGTAGCAGTCAGTGAGCGAGATGTTGTTCAATTTCAGGTCCAGGATGATGTACAGAGACTTTCGCAAGTGATGTTGATTGTTCTCGTCTTGCAGGAAGAAATCCAATCATCCGCAGGTCGTAATTTTGACCTGAACCCGAGCGCGATCAATCTCTAATCGATTACCCTCAGACGTATTGATTTGTTATAGGAACTGGAAGGACTTTGTGAGTTCACCAGATTTAAAAATCATTGAAGGATCTTATAGTATGTGTACAAACGAATAGAATATGAGATTGGAGTAGCGCATATTAATCTACCAGAGCTAGTTCTTCATAATGACTGCAGCTTTTTCTCTCTCTCTTTCTTTTTTTTTTGGTCAATTGTTTTGACAAAGTGTGGGTAATAGTTTAGTAAGCAACTTGGGTGATTCCTATTAATCATAATCCACAGATCGTCAAGAAAAGGTCCTCGGTAGAACACCGATGTCAAGCATCACTAGCAGCAGATCGTGAACAGGTGGGCCATTTTAATCAAACTAGAAAAAAGACCGAAAGATCGTGGTATTTTATATCCGTCGTTGAACAGCCGACCCAATTTGTGGTTTGCGACTACCAATATTCAACTCCTAAGCCATGTAATTTTAAACCAATCCAGAAGACATGGAAACTTCTGAATCAGTACCCTCAGAGGTATTGATTTGTTATGGGAACATAGAGGACTTAGCGACTCGACAGATTTCACATGCATCAGTCACCATTTACTACACGGGGATTCTTTGGCGGGTGAAGATCGAGGCCACGAACTCTTGAACATGAGCCCAGTGTGTTACCAACCAGGCAATACCAGCTAAAATCATGGTATTGGTCTGGTCCTCTTTAAACTGTTCTAATGTAAAGTTCCCAATTTCTCAAACAATTGTACTACCGAAGAGGATCAAACTTGTGATGGTATGTCTTCTGACTACCTTCAAAGGTGTTTCACTGACTGTTGCCAACTGCTTATTGTCAAGCTATAGAGCGATGAAAATAAAGTACTAATACTACTCAACAAGAAAAATTTTAAGAACATCGTTTAAAATTCTAGGAATTCGAATCGCGATTATCTTTCTTGAGTTTCCACTTTGACACTTTTTTTTCTCTAATACAAGGAGGATTTTTTGGAAATTTTCTAACGTAGGGATGGCTGTAAATATCAAATTTTCTCTGAAATTTTCTCAAATGTTACCGTCGCACTAAGTTTGCAATATTTAAATTTCTGAAGAAATAAACCCTTTTCTTCGATGAATTTTTTCCTATGACGCTTTGTAGATCTCTCCAGTCTTAATTTGTTAGGCCGTTTGTAATATAGGGATTAAAAGGGAATAGGACGTCTTTCTATCAATTCCCAAATCACTTGGTTATCCGAAAATCAATATTGTTTTTACTTGATTCAATTTCGTATTTTGCGTCATTATTAAATCTTAATCATGTTTCTTCATTGAAGGTTCAATCTGACTCCAGGACAGATTATCTCCAGTGTGGCGGATCTCCTCAACATTCTACAAGGAGATGAAGTTCAAAGTTGTGAGTCTCAGTTTAATTTCAGCTGCAATCGCAACTCTCGATACAGAAATTTCGACGGAACCTGCAATAATTTGCGAAACCCTTCCTGGGGTATGGCAGCAGCCTGCTTTGAAAGGCTTGTCGATCCAGACTATGCCGATGGTAAAACAAATTTTTTTAACTGTATTTTTTTCTTAGTGATAAATGTGTAGAATCTCTTTACAAAGCCATAGTCTTTCTAAAATTTAAAAAATCGTAAAAGGCATATTTCTAGGGAAGATAAAGCACATCATCGAGATAAGACTTATCATATAAATAATATATCATATATCAGAGATATCATATATCATACATCATATAAATAATATCATATATCATGTAAATAATATCATATATCATGTAAATATTATCATATATCATATAAATAATATCATATATCATATAAATAATATCATATATCATATAAATATTATCATATATCATACAAATAATATCATATATCATATGAATAATATCATATATCATATAAATAATATCATATATAATAGGGACTCTATCATATAAATTGTTTTTTTTTCTTCCTTTGTATGCTTCTGAACAGGATATAATATGAAAGCTTTCCTAGCCGCATTCGATGACATTTCGAAACATGGATTCCCATGCAAGTTTAATAATGATGATGATCATCTAGAAATATACTAAAAGAATTCCTAGACCCCATGACGTTTTAAACTTGAACATTTCGACAAATAGTAGACTAAGAGTCACATGGCTCAGGGGATAGAGCGTTCGTCTTCCAATGAGGCAAACGGGTTCGAATCCCAGTCGATACGAATTCCGCACCTGGCTTGCATCGGCCACAGTGCTGACGTGAAATATTCTCAGTGGTAGACGGGTTAGAGTCCCCTTGCCGTCAGGTTAACCGTGTGGGGGGGAAGACTATTAGACAATTCCAACCTTCATCTATGGAAAGGTACCTCACCATAGAATCGAGTTAACATGTCTTACATACAAGTGAATTGGTATTATATTTTTGTAGTGGTGGATACCCTACAGTACTCCCCCACCAGAATTATATCTGTGATAGAATTCGATGAACGGAAACCACTAGTTGAATAATTGCTGTTCTGTGTGAAGCCGGGAGAGCTGTATTAAGATCACCGTACTTTTTTAGCACTGATTGTGAGAGCTGTGTTAAGTCTGTAGTAGTCACTCCTGTGTTGCCTTTAGCAGTCGAGTGTTTACGTCGTACGTGATCGAGACTGACAAGCAACTGCGTGAGGAAGTGGATAATGTCACATTCACAAGTAGCAAGTCAACTGTTTAATGTGGACAATCCATCGAAGTAGGCGTGTTCAAATCGTAGTGGGCGTTTTTGCTAAGGTAGGCGTGTTCACATCACGTCCGAAGGTCACCAATGTGGGGGGAAAGACTATTAGACAATTCCAACCTTCATCTATGGAAAGGTACTTCACCATAGAATCGAGTTAACATGTCTTACATAAAAGTGAATTGGAATTATATTTTTGTAGTGGTGGATACCCAACAACCGTGGGAGATTCTAGTGGTCTTCTTCTCCGTGTAACGCAAATGCGGGTTAGCCCCATTAAAAAGTTCTCCACGAAGACAAATTTCTCCCAATACTCGATCCAGGAGTTCCATTGTCTTCTGGATTGGGTTCAAATTTACAAGGCTACTGTGTTGAACATTAGTAGTTGTAAATCCATGAAATTGGGTCAGCTGTTCAATGACGGTTATAATATAAAAATAAAATAATAGACTAAAATTGTCATTTAAAAACTAAGTTTAGATTTGAAAAAGATATTTAACTATTTTATATTCTCTCTGTCAGCAAAATTAAGTGAAAAAAATTATCTGGAAGCACATGCGGCGTACGTCACCAAATTTATGCTCTTAAAGTTGTCTAATACTAAGCGCTTTTTTTATTTATACTATTTCTTTTAAAACGTGTTTCAAATAAAATTCATATTCAAAATCAATGATAATTGAATGGAACAACAAATATTTATGTTTTTAAAGTTAAAATTAATGACAATGTGGTATTAGTTTGCTTAAGAGAAAAAAAATCTCCATATAATTAATGAAGCAAACGATACTTAATTAATGTAGGTAATATGCTAATTGATATAAAAAGAAAGCTACGTACTAAAAAGAAAACTTACGTACTAAAAAGCAAAAATAATGGAGAAATGGAGATAATTATTAAAGATAATTATTCCTTCAGAGCACCATAAGTAATTGCCAGAATATTATTGGCACTAATCCTTTATTAATATTAAAAATATGTATTAATTGAAATAAAATAAAATACGCTTTGTGCTGAAAAGCAAAGTTAAAGGAGAAAAGGTTAATAAGAAATTTGTTTAGAAAAACAGAGAAAATCGCCATTCACACAGATGACGCTTTATTATTGTCTACAACTGACAGTAATATGTTAATTGATGAAATTTTGATAAGAATTTTACAACGGGTTTTCCACAATTTAAAGAAGTATATTTTTGTCCGTGTTAGTAAAGGAAGTGTATTAATATTTTAAGGGATTACAGTTAAAAGAACTTTGCTCCACCATTACTTATAAATAATTTGACAGTAAAATAAGGACAAGATAAAAAAAATTGTCATTCTCCAAAATCCGTATCAAATTCTAATAAGAATTCTATTTTTTTTAAAAAAATTCGGTTTTAATTGGCTGTTACTGACAAATGTATTTTTTACCGCTCAAATGTTTAAGAGTTATGTTATAAGGGCCAAATATATTAATACAAGTATAAAGTATTATACTGCTGTATTTGTTGATTAGTAAAACATAAGCAAAACTGAGCAGTTTGAATACTGATACTTAGGAAATAAGTGTTTTACTGCCCCTCGAAAGGAATATGTACCAGAGAAAATCACTCGATAGTGGTAAACCTTGAAAATTATTAGTTTGCCGCGAGCAATAGCATTATGCCAAGTGATGCAAAATGCATTTTATCTTTATTCTAATAGGTTTAATTACAAGAAAGCGAGTTTTGCTTACTTCAATAACGGTAAGCCATCGAAAAGGGCAAAAAATAATACTAAATAAAAAAATGAAATTATTTTAGCCAAATTAATTGAAAAACCTAGTATGAGAACTTGCTAGGTGACTTTTTCAGAACGAAAAATAAGTTGTATCGGAATTAATTTATTAGCAAGTAATTTAAAGGCAATATTAATATTTTTTGCTTTATTTTACTTGCTACAGCCAAATTTGAAACAAAAATCATGCAAACATACTAAACACTGATGTGTATTAGTTATGATATTTAGAAGTAAGATAGAAGTAAAGGCAAAAACAGTTCTGTTACACTAAACATACCCATATTGATGCAACAACTTTTTGTTATTTTCTCTGATTCATTAATTCCCCTAAAAACTTCACTTACCTGGTTCTTTCATCAAGCTCTTGTTTCGGTATACGCTTTTTAGTTTTGAGCATGATTTTGTAGTGTTCTTCAGTACTGATTTATTGATTCTATACTTATTTTTTATTAACCCAGTGCGAAAAACGGGTACTCAGCTAGTTTATTATGAAATAATATTTTATTTTCAGGCACCTCTGCGAAAAGAGTATCAGTGTCAGGGAATCCCTTACCTCCTCCTCGTACTATTTCTTTAGAAATCCACGACCATCTGGACAACCCTACAAAATATATCACCCATATGTTTATGGTGTATGGTCAATTCCTAGACCATGACATATCGTTGTCTCCTGTCAGCCAAGGACGTAAGGATTTGCTTTTCCTCATTATTGTTTCTGCATTTTTTTCCTTCAAATATTTTCCCATATGTTTATAGCGTATGGTCAATTTCTGGTCCATGACTTATCGTTGCCTTCAATCACCCAAGGGTGTAAGGATTCGCTTTTCCTTATTATTTTTGGTCCCGCAGTGGACTAATCGTTAAGACGCGGCTCCCATCAGATCACCGAAGTCGAGCATCACTGGCCGCGGTCAGTGTGCGGGTGGGTGACCACTTGGATCAGTCTGCGCAGGGACCGAGGGTGTGCGGTATTGATCCTCGTTAAACTGTTCTACCGTAAAGTGCTCGACTTCGCGTGCAGGTTGTCGGGCTACCGAAGCGGGGGTGCCATCCCCTCTGCAGAGGATCAAAATTGTGATGGCATGTCTTTGGATCATCCTCAGGGATGTTTCCCAGACCGGCGCCAATAGCCCATTGTGCAGCTCTAGAGCGACGAAAATGAACTACAATTACAACTACAATTACTACAACCATATTATTTTTGTATTTCTTTCCTTTATCGAATATTTTTCCTCATTTGTTTTTGGTGTATGGTCAATTCCAAGACCATGACATATCATTTACTCCCGTCAGTCAAGAACATAAGGAATTGTTTTTTATTATCATTATTGTTGCCTTTTTTTTCTTTCATCAAATATTTCCCATATATGCAGTTAATCAAAGACGTAAGGATTTACTTTTAACTATCATTATTTTTGCATTTTTTTCAATCCTCTAATATTTTTCTTTTTTATTGCCGTATTCATTGAATTTTTTTTTCTTTAAAAGTTATTATTTGTTCAACTTATGTAAAAAGAAATAAGCACAGGGTAATAATTTTAACTCCATGGGAAATCAGAGGAACCTGGAATAGCAAGTTTCTTCCGCAGTGGAAAAAACTGCTCCGGAAGAAATATGTTTCTGCCAATGGAAGAAACTCTTTTTCAAAAACAAAAATCAAGTATTAAAACTATTTCCTTCCACTGTTTATAATTGCAACGTAGTTTTCATAAAAGGACTAATTTTACAGTTGTTTAATACACAATTTTTATGTACGTTTGAACTGAAAAACAGAAATCAAAAAGAAATGTAATGCTTATAAATTTCTAAAAAAATTAAAACCATTGTAGTTTTTTAATATTTTATATAAATCAGTATAACAAAACCTAGGCGAAAACTCATTACCCTGCAATAATTTTTTCTTGGTGTTATTACTTTTTTTTTAAAAAATGAATACTACTTTTTGAAAACATTTTTGTAGTCAGAAACTATTCGCTCTCTTTCGCTTGCAGTTTTTTATTTCGTCATTGGAAAATACCTATTTCAAAACATTGTGAAATTTCAACAAATTTCTGATTTCCGACATTTTCAACAAAGTTGATGTTACCCTGAAATTGGCACTTAGTTGGTGAAAATCCGATAATTCGATAATAGTTTAAGAGAAAACTTTTTTGTTCTGATTACTGCAGATAAAAGTTACAAAAAGTTCTTTTTATAAACAATGAATGTTTCCTTCTTTTAGCAAACAACCAGCCTTTGGAATGTTGTCCAGTGAATGATGGCAATCCCCAATGTGACCCAATCCTCCTCGGAAGTAATGACCCATTCTTCAGTCCCCTTGGAATTAATTGCTTAAACAACGTTCGATCTGCTATGTGTTCCACTTGCTCACTTGGTAAATGATGCCACCATTTAGTTTATTTATTATTAGCTTGCTGGTTTTTCTAAGTGAAACATGGACGGGTTTAAATGAGTCCAAAAAATGTGTATCGATGAATGTATGGTTAGCTGTGTACTGTTGAGGAACCCAGTTAATTTATCCCTCTTACATTTCAAAATCAGTTATGATATTTATTTGAAGATAGCACTGATATCTCGAAAAAACTATAAAACAATATTTTCGAAATAACCATCACTTTGGGTAGCATCTTGAGTAGCAACAGTATATGGGTATTTTAGAGTATTTTAGGTAGTATGGGGACACAATTAACGAATAATTGTGAAAATATCTCATCTGAAATCATCTGACATGCAGCAAAAATATTTTTTTGAAGTGTTTATAGTCATCAGTGGTAAATTGTGGCATTTTTTGATGTGAAAATAGTTCTTTTATGACATGAAAGATTTTGGAGTAAGCTTATTAAAATTTTAGGTGTTTAGATTTAAATTGTACTCTTTAAATAGTGCATAAACATTCAATTTGGTGAGTCACAAAATAATTTGGGTTGTTCAGCGCTTTATCCAGAGAGATATTACACCGAAATTTCTACAGTGTATACTGTAAAAACTATGGTGTAATAATACATCAGCGAATTTGATGTTATACAAACACGAAAATTGTATGAAGGAATATTTTTTTTTTCAAATTTTTCACCAAATCGAGTTTTTATATAAAATTTATTGAATATAAATAAACCTAATACTAAGTATTATAATGGGTAGAATTTACATCTAGCTAACGTGCTTTCACACTTACAAAGCCTGCTGCCCACCAGCTGTGCCAGTGGCAGCACCCCTGAACACAATGAAAAAAACTTATTAGACACGCGTCATGTAACTGTGTATAAGACATCCTCATAATGTCAATTTAGCACAAATGTATCTATGAAGGTTAAGGTAGTATAATCTCTACTTGTGATTGCTTTTTTACACGAATCAAGAAATTTATTATTAAATTTCAGGACCCAGGCAGCAAATAAATCAGGTGACGTCTTACATAGATGCCTCTCATATTTATGGATTTAATCTGGCTCAATCTTCTGCACTGAGAAATAACGATGGATCAGGTAAGGCTTTACTTTTATGATGTACAGGACATAGGAAAAACGAACTTTTCATCGAATGATCGAACTTTTCACGTTCTAGATTTCAATCTGAATGGTTCAAGGAGGTGGCCTCAAATATGCTAAATAAATAGTGTAAGCCATATTTTAAGTTACAAATAAGGAATAATATTTATTTTTTAAATTTGATTTCTCAGGACCCATTCGGCTAATTTCGCTGAAATTTTGTATTTCGCCAAGAAAAAAATTTAATTTTTCAAAATGATGTAACAAATTGTATACCTTACTATACAAAACTTTTTCTATTATTATTAAATAAAATAATAAAATATAATAAGTATTTCCCGAAAGTTACTTTTTGAATGGAATTATGGGGTAACAAACTTCAGATTGAGAATTTTTTTTTCTCCATTAGCTTAAAATGTTTTCGAAATATGGTGAAATATGCAAATACTGAAATTATCTTTAAGGAGCCACAATTTTGTACCACTTTCCTGACCTTTGTTACATTGCTTTCCTGACCATAAGCTATTTGGATCATATTTCCCAGATTGCGGTTTCCTTCTATATTTTAATGATCAGAAATCCTAATTCGTGAAAAAAAACTGTAGGTTTATTCAGAAAAAGAAAGTATTTGTGTCTAATTTTGTAACTTAAAATATTGTTTGTTCTAAAGCATTATTCAAATAAGAACAAAAATTGGAAAAAAAAGTCCATCCTCAAAATACGCAGTTACAGAACTAAAACATTCTGTGCCATATTCGAGGCTTATAAAAACCAATTAAAACTGGAGTTATAACTTTTAAGTAAGTGGGAAAAAACATTGTTGTGAAAGGAAACATAAGTATTTAATAGTTAAGAATCATTTGAGAAAAAAAGAAACATATCAAACATTTTAAATTAAAAATACGTTTTTCAAATTGTTCTTAAAAAGTAGATCATACTCTGTCATCTTTTAAAAAAAAATAAAGACGGCAGTCTCATTAGTTTCCTTCAGTGTATTAATAAGTTTGACGTTATTGTTTACATGTTTATCATTTTATTGATAGTTTAATACTGACAGAACTTAATTTTTTTGCTACTTAAAAATGCGGAGTTGCTATTTTTTAAAGGTTTATATGCACTGTTGAGTGTTTGTCAATCATTAAAGAGCATCTTGCTGACATTTTGCTGAAGCAGCAAGCTCTTTTTACGCTTATCAAAAGACATTACATATTAATAAATTTAAGAATTCTGACGGGTGAAATATGTAAATCTTGAGAAGACATGCAAAATTGTTGAGAAATGTTAGCATTAGACGCCGAAATTTCTGACTAAAGACTTAGTGAAACATTTCTTTAAAAATAAAAGTACCCTCTGTCAACGCTCGCCCAATTTGAAAAGAAGATACTAATGAATTCAAGCCATTATTTAACCTATCAAGAACGAGAAAGAATCTCCAGGGATAAAGGAGATATTACAAAACTATATTGGGAAGCAAGAACAATAATTAACTCTCAGTGATCAACTGTGATTCCAATTGATTTTTGTGTCTTTTCGACTGTATATTGTCCCCTTTCAAATTTTAAGGTGATTATCGTTTATTTCAAAATGCTTACTGTTCACATATAATTGATTTGTTTTTCCTGCTCCTCCATGGTGCATAGAACTGTTATAATTTTGGATTGCTTTCCAAATAAAACTATATGTGACACACAATTTGGACTTGTTGAATTGTATTATAATCATAATTGTACTAGGAACAATGCGGTCCACAAATTCTACAGTTGGTGGAGAACTTCTACCTCCCAGTTTTAATCCCAACGAAGATTCCTGCAGTTTTCAAGACCCTATTCTAAACTGCTTCGAAACAGGTATGATATTGAAACAGATTCGTTAAAATTAAAAGCAATTAATTTTTAAGACTATTTGTTTGTGCATTTCTCAGGAGATCAGCGGTCAAACCAGCATCCTGCTCTCACTTCTATGCATACTCTGTTTTTAAGAGAGCATAACAGAATCGCCAGAAGACTAAGAGAACTGAACAGAAATTGGGACGGTGAGAGAATATACCAGGAGGCAAGGTATATCTTTTTTTATTAGAAGTAAGAAGCGAAGCAATCATAGATACCTGACATAATCGAACCTTATGAATTGTGGCAAGATTCAGCCTCCAATTAGGTTCGATACCCACGCGTGACGTCAGTTACTAATAACCAATTATATCTAATCCGAAAAATGATTCAGTGGGATAATAAACCAAGCCTAATAGCTGTGCCGTTATCACGCCATCCTGTTTATACACAACCAGCTGATTTCAGTGGTCTTCTCGAGTGGCAAAAATTGGTTGTAAACAACCCAAAAAATTGTTCACAGGCAGCTTGAATTTCAAACATCAAATCGAGCCTTCATATATGCTTTAAAGAGTTTAGCCAAATCTGAACTCTAACAAATTGAAAATACTTGCAACAAAATCACGTGCATTCGGATCATTCGTGATTTTCGTTTCTACAAATTTTTGTGAGCATCCGTAGATTGTTTACAATCGTGTACGAAATATTGAGAGTTTTGTTGTTATTTTTTTAAGCTGCCATCTATCTAGAGAAACAGAGGTTGATTGTTGCAAAAGTTATACATTAATTTAGTTGTGTAGTAAATATAATTGTATTATAATTTTTAAATATCTGTCAGTTGTATTTAATTTCGAACTGCTTCGATTCTGTTAAGCCTGATTCGAATTCGTTTTTATTCTCTCCGTTTTATGTTTAAATTTGGCTTACAAACCAAGTTTATGTTGAGAATAAGTGTGCATATGCATCCTAAACAAACAGTTGTTATTTTAAATTGTGTCGTAAAAATAACCTTACTGACTTTAATGCCTATCACATATTGCTGTTATTATAACTTTTTGCGTTACTAAACACTGGAAATGGAAACAACTACTTTCCAAAAAATAGAGAAACGAAGCATTCCTGGTATTACATTACATGAAACACCAAAAAATGATCTTTCGTATTTCACTGCACCACTTTTGATGTAACGTTAAAAATCAAGTGTGCATTTATAATGATTGCCAGAACCGTTTTATTCTTTGTGTTTTTTTCATTAAGTGAATGCATCTTTTTTTAAAAAAAAATATTCTTAATATTTACTCACTACCTTTAAAAATTATTAGAAATTATTAGAATTATTAAAAATTATTTATTTAAAAATTAAACCTGCCTATAGTATCAAAACTTAGTTATTTCAAGAGAGAAAATATTTCCCATCTTTTAAAAGGATATCAATTATTTTCTTGGAGCTAATTCTTGGAATTAATTCTTGGAACTAATTCTTGGAATTAATTCTTTGAACTAATTCTTGGAACATTGACGTTGAAGTCTTTTTGAAAATTTCGTGCTTTTAGACCACTTGCTGAATTCCAGAGAAAACATTTGGAGCTCTATTTCTGAAGCTTCTCGTACATTCATAAATATAAAGGGTTACATAATGAATATGAAATATCAAAAAATTCACTTTTTTAAGTTTTTTTTTACGTAAGAACTACATGTCAAGAATAATTTTACTAAGTTTTGTAGATAATCAGAGTAACTTTCATGGAAAAAGATGTCTTTAGCAAGCAAGAAAAGAAGTGCAAGTTCTTTTTAAAAATAAAAAAAGGATTCTGAAACTGTTAATGGCGTGTATCGCCTTTCTGAAAAAGCTTTCTGTTTCGCAACGTGGAAGCAAGATAAATGGGGCAAAAGGCAGAGGTTAATAAGCCAGGCAATATGGATTTATCACTGATAATCAGGGCAATTTAAGTATTTAAAACCCAGTAAATGAGTGAATCTATAAATGATGTAATCAGTCTGTAAATAAATTTTTTTTTTAGTAAACCTATAATTTGTGGTGTATGACAAATATAATTTATTGATTTTATTCCATAACTACATGTTTTTTTTTCAGGAGAATAGTTGCAGCCATTATGCAGATGATTACTTACAACGAATTCCTACCTCTAGTTATTGGTCCAGAAAACATGAAAAAGTATGATCTGTACATACAGCGGAATGGATACACTCAGTATGACGACACAGTGCAGGCAACTTTGGTGAACGAGTTCTCAACCGCAGCTTTTCGCTTTGGACATTCGATGATTAACAGCTTTTTCCCACAACTATCGAGAGGATCGAGCTCCAACGAAAGGCTGAGAGATATTTTCCAATACCCTTTTGGTCTACACAGAGGAGAACTGGAGGGCTTGATCAGAGGAACTACTCTGTCACCATCGCAGACATTTGATCGGTAGTCAACATTTGGTAACTCTATAGGCTACAAAAAACAAAATTCACTCAATTCGTAATCTGTATTAAAATTTTTACAAAACTAATTTCAAAAGGTGATCAAATTAGTGTCAAAACTACAACTTATTTTCGTCTCAGAATCGTGACCAAATTTTTCTTTCTTAATCTACATTATTTAGCATATTATCTTAAAATGCTGCACAGAGTGTAAAAAATGTATATTAAAATTTATTGCAAAAAATAATTAAAGTATTTAGAATAATTTTTATTCTCTTATTTGGTAAAATGGTTTCATAAATAAGTCAAATTGTTCACTTAAGTGTGAAGAAAACTTCCAACTGCTCCTTTATAATCATAAAAGTTAACAGTTGGTTTGGGCTTGCGGTGTATAATTTGATCAACGAGAACTGATTCTGGAAGTAAACATGAAGGGTTGCTGTTTTCCTTAGAAAATTTGCCTTAGGTTTGCCATAAAAAATACAAAAGAGTTGTCTCCGGTATAATTTCGCCATAAACTTTTATCGTAAACGTATGGCAACATTTTGCATGTGCGAATTGCAAATTATTGCCATATGCGTATGGTATTTTTTTGCCTTAAATTAATGACAAATTCGTTGCCATAAGCGTCAGACAATACGCTGAGCGTATGGTAGGGTAAATTTACGTGTGTGGTATATTTTTGCCATAGGTACATGGGAAAAGTATATGGCAACATTTTGCCATAGGTAAAACCCTATTGGGATACCCTATGGTATTTTTTATGTAACTAATTTTTGCCAAAAAAAGTTTGGTGCGCTTAAATTAATTTTTTACAACTGTACATTTGGAAATATATACGTAGACAATAATAAACAGGAGTGATTGAATTACAGCGATTTTCAGGGCTTTTCCCAATAATTATACAAAGAAAAATTAAGGTGAAAGATTAATTTATTAAGTATAAGAAAAAAGGCGATAATTATGTAAGAAAGCGAAGAACTCATACCGAACAATATCCGGATAATTTAAATCTTTATGATAAAAAATAATTATATAACAAAGAAGGCTATATGAGAATGAAAAAAAGATAAATAAAATGAAATTGACTTATAGATTTGGGTTCTCTACTGTTCATTAATCCAAAATTAATCGTAGCATCAAAGATTGAGCACAATATCATAAAAAGGCACAAAATCTGACATTTGATGTTAGCGAAATTCACACAGCATTATTGTAGCCGCAAGAGTTAATTTGGTTCTAGATTATCAAGTTGTTTAAAATAGACATAAGTTCAAAAATTTAGAAAAATGTTGTCGAAACTAGTAGGATTAATTTCAAAAAGTTTGAAAATCAATTTAGTCAGACATTCGAAATTTGAAAAAAAATTTTTTTTTTTAATATTTCGGTACAAAAATTAAATGAAATAAAATGAAGAAAAAGGTAATAAAAAAACAACTTTCTAAGTATCTTTGGCCGAATAATGTTCCGTCGAGGTATTGCCACCACGAGCTTGCCTTGCTGTCGACTTGTCAGCGGTGGAAATTTTTTAAAATTGAAAAGCCGGTTTTTCGTTGAAATAATCGAAAATATAAAAGTAACAATAAATTTCCATAAAGGTCCGTGAACTGTATTGAAAAGTACTACTGTTTTTGATGGATTGGTTTAATTAACGCAAAATTGATCGGTATCGTCTGAGTTGCTGTAAAACACGCCTGCTTTCTTCTCCAACCATGTTCACTCTACCCTATAAATGACGCATGTGTGCAGCTTGTTTCCATTAGTTTGCCATATGCCTGTGGTACTTCCATTTAATCGTACTACCTGAAGGCTACGGTGTCCTGCCACATAATACCATACAATTCTATGGTTACCATAGGCGTATGGGATCTTGCCATATAAATGCCATACGAATCTATATGGTTACCATAGACTTAAGGTATCTTGCTATATAAGTTTCTATGGTTGCAATAGATTACTATAAGTGTGCCTTTGGCTAATTTTCTTAGGAGTATCTCCAACATGATCCGCATTACCTGTTCCTCGATGAGATGGTAGTTATTTTCGTTTTTACTATTGGTCAAATGGGCACTGGTTGACATAGTTTAAGCCATAATCCGCCAAAAGTATTGCCAAGTGTATCGTGGCCTTGTTTGTTTTCGTTATTATTTCTTGCTGACGTGAGAAAAAGGGCAATTTGTATTTTTTTAAAAAGACGAAAAAGGCAATGGACAAACCATCGAGGGAAAAAACTACAAAACATTCATCGGCGTTCTTTTTTTTCTTCATTTGTTTTTGTTTTTGCATGAATTAGATAGTTTTGAGATTTTGACATGAGCCACTTGTGGTTTCGATAATATGGTGCAATATAACCTGCATATCTTGACGTAATATCTTTATTGAAAGAAAAGTTGAGTAATTGCGTAATGACAAGAAATAATCATGCGATTCAATCCACCAAGAGCAAGCTACGTAATTCCATTAGACCTTTTTTTCTTAAAGGATTTGTTAAATAATTGTTTTTTTTTTCTTCCAATAACCCATAACCGCTTCATGAGTTAGAAACTTAAGTCATTTTTGTTATTGGTGCTAATAAAATCAAGGAAATAAAGCATAAAAGAAAGAATTTATTAAAAAAAGTAGAAGTCGTGTTTAATCAAAACGTCATATGCTAATGTTGTCTAAAATTCAAATTGTTAACAACAATCGCGCATTGTTTTACATATATTTGATGCCATGAAGCGTTGTTGCTTGTCCCGATTTTCTTCACTAATCATGAATGCAACATACTTGCAATATTTTTTCCATTTTATTGACAGGTATATGGTGAAGGATGTTACCAACCATTTGTATCAAACTCGTGGGAATACGAGTGGATTGGATTTGGCTGCTATCAACATCAACAGAGGTCGTGACCATGGAATTCCTGGATATACAACGCTCGTTGATTACTGCGGAGGATCTCAAATCAGAAACTGGAGGCAGTTGGATGGAATCTTTCAGCGTAGACTTTCAAGCCTTTTTCAGAGACTTTATGAGTAAGTTCTCTCCTTGTCTGTACATACACTACTTTATAAAAATTGTGGGGTAATATCTCTCCAAATTTTATGTTGAGCAGCACAAAAAAAATTCTTTTTATTTCAAGTTAACTTATAATCAAGCTTTCATATATATTTTAAAGCGTACAGTTAAATAAACATCTTTAAAAAAGAAAATTTTCACCAACCTCATGCACATACATTCACACATTTCTAAATTATTTTTGTCGCCGCAAATTCCAAAATGGACGCACTTAGTATATCTTAAGTATGTTGTTTACTAACGTGTATAAGCGAGCGTGAATTCGTTGTTGTCTTCTACAATACCATATCAACTACTGAAACAAAAGCTCGCTTTTCTGAAAGGCATGCATGATTTTAATTACATGCATGAAGAATAACTTTAATCTAGTTTCAAAACATCTGACAACAGCTTAATTATCTTATGTTTTATAATTCCTTACCGCTTCTGTCTAAGTTGAGCCAAATTCGAATTCGTCTTACTGTTATATATGTGCTATGTGTAGGTTTGATGAACAAACTAATTTTAGTTTAAGAATAATTTCAACACATTTTAATTGTTCTTACTATGAATTGAATTGTAAAAATGACTCTATTGATTTTTACGCGTAACATAAGTCATTGATATTAGGGATTTTAGTAAAACAGAGCAACAAATATGGTAACAACTACTTTACAACAAAAATAATGAGAAAAACCCTTCCTGGTGCTTCACAACGCATAATATTTAGAAATTATCTGTGTTGTTTCACTTCAATAATTTTGGTGTAATGTTGTTTTCATCATTTTTAGTGCTAAAATACACTAAAGCAGTATACCAGTTTGCTAGCTAAAGTGAAAGGTAGAATTCCGCGCCCAGCTCGCACCGACTACAGTGCTGATGCAAAATATCGTCAGTGGTAAATGGATCATGGGCTAGCGTCCCCTTATCTTCAGGCTAACCGTAGATAGTCTTTTCTCCATGTAACGAAAATGTGGGCTAGTTCTATCAAAAAATCTTTCACTAAAGAAAATTTCAAAATACTTGATCCAGGAATTCCCTTGTCTTCAGGATTAGGTTCAAAATTACAAGGCTACGGTGTTGAACATTAGTAGTTGATAATCCAAAACATGGGGTCGGCTATTCAACGACGGTTATAATATACAATATTTACAGAAAACGTGAGAGACACAAGAAGTAAAGGAAGAATCAAGTATTTTTTCAATAGTTAAAAATTTAAACAAATTTTCTTTAGCCGATTTTCTTTTAGCTAACGTACTGATTTCTTTCTGCAGAGATGTGCGGGATATCGATCTATTTTCTGGAGGACTGGCTGAGCGTCCTGTCTTAGGAGCCGTCATAGGACCGACATTCACTTGTATTGTAGGTATTCAGTTCTATCACCTTAAGTATGGAGACAGATTTTACTTTGAACACGGAGGCCAAACTGGATCATTTACACCAGGTAATAGATCAAAAAGATAATGACACATGAAGTGTTCTGAACTCAGGTTCGGTTAAGATTTGTTGTTGGAGTTGCAATAGAGCTAGGTGATGGTTTGGGATTTATCCCTAATGATGAGTCGAAAACAAAACACTATCACAATTTTGAATGAATGGCAAATGGTCGTAGTAATGATCTGGCCTCTTCACCACGCTTCTCAACCACGTAACTGAATGTTTACTTTATGGGGTCTGATCATAACATTAGAATGAAAGCCGAGTAACTAAGATACGTAAAGCTCAATGAAATCCGTAAGTAAATGTAAAATTAAACTCTTACCAGAAATCCTCGCCTTGGCATTGGGAATCAAACCTCAGTCCCAGCAGTTTTACGAGAATACTAGATAAGCACACGGACTGGGTCACCATAATTAGATCTGAAACTCATATTTTTTGTTTTAAATCGCTGATTTTAGCTTATACCCATCTTTGACAAGCCGACTCAATGCCGGTTTTACGACTACTAATGTTCAACTCTGTAGCCGATATTTTTTTCAACGTCAAGGGGAATCCTAGCCTTCTATTACCCCCATCTGGAAAATAAAGTCCCAATAGCTTAGTTAGGAAAGAGGTCAAAAATTTGAGCTCCTTAACTCTTCTTAGATGAAATGTAGTCAATCTAGAAACACTAATTCAACAGATATAACACACTACTAGGAATGTAAAACTAATTGCTTTTAAACGTTTAGAAACCACTCTTTTTTAAGCTAAAGTAAGTCGCAAAACTGAAATATGTCGTTTTACTCACAATGAATAGTTCAAAGTCGCGCATGCTAACGTTCTGCTTGACTAAACTTTTCTAATCGAGTTCGCAGTTCCGAAAAGAGTTAACTGCAAGAGGCTTAAAAGAGTTAAAAGAATTAAGTTTTATGTACACAACTATAAATTTCGTTTATCCAAAATGAAAATATAAAGACATTCAAAAACAAATATAAAGACATTCCATGATTTTTATTGATAATAGTGAAAAAGAATAATGAATTGTACCGTAAAAAAACTTTTACATCTTTTTAAATCATATAATTCTAAATAGGAACATACAAAGTTGAATTAAATCAGTTAAATAGTTCCCAAGAAATAAAATTTAAAAAAAATGATAGCCCAGAAACATATAGAATTTATGTTTCATAAATTGAAGGTCTCCATTATATATNTGTATAAGTATATATATTCGGTAACTAAACTTGTTACTTCAACTTAATGACCATTAGTTTATCCTAACCTTTCGAACCTCAGGGGTGGCAGATTCAGGGGTATAGACTTTTATGGGAAGTGAAAACGATTTTTGCACAATGGTAATCACATAGCTTTAATTATGCAGTAGTAGCAGTCGTTTCGGTTGGCCGGGGTGCCTGAGGATGGAGTGGCCCTTTAACCCTTCCTCTTGTGGTGAGGATCTTTCAGGTGGAAATCCTTTAGTCCTTGTAGCCTAGAAATAAAAGTAAAAAGTAATATGCACGAAGTTATAACTGTAATTATGTAGGAAATTGTGGAGCCTTAACCTCCGAAAAGCCCACAACGGTGGCATTTTAGATATCCAAACTACAGTTTGGGGCCAAATATCCCCTTAGCAATTTTTAAAAAATCTGTATAAATAATTAGGCATGGGTAAAATGTGGAATTCTACGCATAGAGGACAAATTTTGTCTAAAAAGAAATTACAATTATTGTTTATTTTGACTCCAATTCATATAATGTGTAATGGTTAAATTGAAAGTTTTCTTTACGCAATTAAAAGGCTGCATTTTTAAGAAAGCAAAACGCAATTAAAAGGTTACATTTTTATTACAGGCCAAGTTAATGTAAAGCACTTTGCAAAAAGCAACTTTAGTTGAATACTTTAGGGCTTGATGAATTTCCTTTACATCTAAAACAACTACTTGCTCTAATATTATGTTTCTTTCCCAGCTCAATTAGCAGAGATAAAGAAAGTAACTTTAGGAAAGCTAATCTGCCAGAATTCTAATATTGATCAAATACAAGCCAAGGTGATGCTGTATAAAAGCAATATGTGAGTCATTTATGGAAATAGTTACTTTATAATGGATGTTTCCTCTGAATTACCTGCTAAAATTTTAAATTTAATAAATAATCAAAGTTTTAATTATTAGTATATATTATGAACAAAATTTTTCTTAGTATTGTGTAGTCTTATGTGGATTAAAAAGTTTAAAATTGTTTGACGCAGTTATTATATCTTTAGTCATTGAAGCAGGATTTTTATTAAATATATTTTTCGTACTTTTTCTATTAATTTGCGTTAATGTAGGACAGAAGAAGTATATTATATTTAAAATTTTAATTGTTTATGTTTATGGAATATAGCATGTCTTTTTTGTGAATTAAAGGTAAAATCATTCAAATACGGTTCACTTCCAAACAGTAATTTCTCAAATTTGAACTTATTTGCAGTTACTCAAAACTACAAAAAACTGTTATTTCTCATTCAACTTTCTTTAAATTACAAAATCCAATTATTGATAAAGTTTTGAATACGAATCAAAAAATCAAACTAATCTTTTGTGAATTTTAGATTTTAATATAAATATTTTTCCGATAATCTAACAGATTTCTTTTAGTAATTATTAGACTGTCTTTTGTAATATCAAAACATATTTTACTTATTTATTATATATAATTCTCTTACGTGGCTCCCAAATTTTGGATGTATTTCTTTTCCGCTGGTGGCAACAGTTTTCATTTCTAAAGAAGTACTTTGTACAACTAAATAAGATTCTTTTCACAACACTTAAATATTTACTTTATTTTCTTCATATATAAAGAAATGCTATAAAAAGTTTTAAATAAAAAAACTTCTATCCAGCTAATTCTACAACTGCTTCTTGAGGAACTTGGCTCATTGATTAAAAATATCGTTTTAATTTTACAGCACTAACTTTACTTCTACTTACATTATTGCTATGACCCTATTTCATTACATTTTTCAACTTCATGCTAAATTTGAGGACTTTAAGTTGTTTTGTAGTTAAATACTGACATTTAAAAATGTGTACATAAAAAAATAATATTTAGAGGTTAAGAGTTGCCTCAGAAAAATTTGAATTGTTGACACTGAATTTAATAATGGAAACAATCGTTTTTGTGAAAAATTCAATTGTATTGCTGACATCAAAACTAAAAATATTGTGTTTCAACTTAACAATACTACCTTAATTTATACTTTAGAATTGCCTCGGAGAAATTTGAATTGTTAGCAATGACTTAAACAAAAAGTTTTATTTTAACTGACAAATACTATATTATAATTTTAACTTTTTCTATGACTATACTCATTTTCTTACTCTTTTCTTTGTTTTTTATACATTTTATATTTTTGTGATAAAATAAAAAAACTTATAGTTGTTCTGCTTCTGAACACCGATGAAAGCACAAAATGATGGGCTTCATCAGCAATCAAAAATATATACATTTATTTTACAAATTCCATATTATTAGGGTGGCGCCCTTCAGAGAATTAAAAATGCAAAATTATCATCATCGAAGCCGATGCTTTACATCCGGCGTTCAGTGGCAGACTACTATTTCTTATTGTTTTACAACACATGACTTTAGCCCCCTAATGGGAAAGATTTTAAAACAAAACTTACAACAGTTACTTTTCTCAACAACTGAAATTTAGAATAGTGTGATAAAGCAAAATATGTGAACTGTTTGCAATTTCAAATTAATAATGAAATGTACAGGTTCAGAATTTTCTACAGTGAAAAGGTTTCGGAACTTCAGTATTCAAAAAAGTATACAAAAGCTAGACGCTAATTACGTATCCAATGAACGAGCAAAGCGAGCATTGGATTGCGAAGCAATCCGAAATGAAAAGCAGTTCCGGGAGTTGGCGAGCGCCAGCGAGCAGGGGGCGAAGCTTCCTAGTATATACGAAATAGTTTTACGAAAGTTTTTGAACTTGTCAGCAATCGTTAATAATTATATAACTATAAATTGATTTGGACTACAAAGTTAATAAATCAAATGCTTAAAGGGACAAGCATCCCAAAACTTTTCAAATAAAATAAACGATTCCTTATTATACATAATTTCACAGCAAGCAAAACTGGTTCGTTAATCAGAAGTGTATAACACTAGTTACTACAACTACCATTACTAATACTACTAATATTTCAACAATATAATACTAGTTAGTAAATCAGTAACCTCTATCAATGAATAATAAATAACAAATGCCTTTCATCTATTATACATTTTACCTAATGTATTTTTCACTTTATTTGTCTTTGCTTTTATAGAAATCCTGTAGTAAACTGTGATCATTTACCAGAAATGAATTTAAGAGTCTGGAGATAATAAGGAATAGTAAGTGCGATTCTCATAAATATAAAATTAATCCTATTGATCAAAATGTTCTTTTTGGTTTTCTGGGTATTGGCCAAAATAATAATTAAGGCTTCCAACTGATTTCCACACATTTCTTAAACACTTGTTTTGTTATTAACTTTATGACAGTATAACAATATAAAGTATAATTGTATAACAGATTATTCTTTCGCAGGAGCACACGTCATACGAAACTAAAAAAAGGATATAATAAAAAAAAAAAACGCTTTAATATACAAGGGATTTTAAAATTTGAAAATTCCATCATTCGTTACACATTAGCGCTAACTTGCTACAATCTATCCACGTGTCGTGAAAGTAACAGCAAAACATCGATAAATGGATTTCTAGCGATTCCCTTAGTTACTAAAAGTCTTATTCTGAGCTTAGCGAGTTTAGCAAGAGCGTCAGATGTGCGAGTTTATCTGGATTTCAGTTGTGCAGCAGGCAAATACCGGAAATCCTCCTCTTTGAATTTTAAATACTATCTCACTGGATCAAAGAATTGATCTCAAATATGCAAATTTGTTACTGCTTATTATGAATTAATATTTAAAATAAGACAGAAAAAGATTTTATTTGAATAAATATACCTCATTCTCAACGTACTTTGATTTCTGAATGAGATAAATCCATGTAATTTGTTTTGTTATTTCAAATAATGATTGAATAGTTTTTGAAAACTAAAGTATACAAACTTTTGTTTCAGTTTAAACTGTGTGCATTGACAAAATACAAAATTTGAACGAAATAGGCTGAATAATTATTGCAAAATGAATTTTTAAAAGTACGGATGTTTTCAAATTTTATAAATTATGAATTTTTTAGCCGATTTTGTTCAAATTATGTATTTTGTAATTTTAAATTACATAGTTTAAAATATTATAAATATTTGAAAACCCAAATATATTAAATTTTTTTAACCCTAATGAAACAAAATAAGGAATAGTCAAAGTGATTTTTTTACATGTACTTATTTTTCGATGATCGAATGGGTAAAACTATTAGCATTATTAACTATGTGTAAAACTTTTTTGCTTCGCTTAAAGAGTTTCTCAGCTATGTCGAAATACGAAATAAGAAAGTAATTTATATCAAGAGTCCATAACATTAGACCGCTCACCTGTCTAAATTATTGAAACCCTATTCTCCAGATTGCTACTACACCCCATATCCTGAAGGTCAAAAGTCCATCAAAACAAAGTTTTATTTCTTCAGAGATAGTGCGTTTCCGTGTCTAATTATGTAATTTAATAGGAAGGACTAACCAACTGCGTATTAGTGTTCACCCTTTTGAACCATTAAGATATGATTCAAGTTGGTTGCTCAGGATGATATTTATGTAACTTAATAGTAACGACTAACCAATTGAGTATCAGTGTCCACCCCTTTGAACCATTAAGATTGGATTTAAGTTGGTTGCTCAGGATGATATTTTTTTTTGTTTCAGTGTCTAATATCCTTCCTCAAGGTTTTCGTGATTGTGTTTGTTTCAAGACATAATCTTTTCACTTCAAAGCGAAAAAAAGGAAGTCCAATGACAGTAATAACTGTTTCAGCCAATTCTTGAGGCCAAACGACGCCTCAATACCAGGGAATTGAAAAAAAATTAAAAATGTCCATTATTGCTTATGATAATATTTCAATTATTAAATAGAAAAGTGACTGAATTTTTTTATTATTTTTAAATAATTGTTCCACATAGACTTAAAATGTAATGGAACGTCTTTTCTTTTGAAAAAAATTCATAAAATCAAAATTTTTACTAGGGGAAATTTTTACTTTTAAGAGAAATTTTTAAATTACTAACATCTTTTCGTTCAGTTTTTATTCTGAAAAAAAAGCTCAAAATGGGCATTTAAGGAAAAAGACACATCTCAAAAAGCGTGTTTAAGAAAAAAATACTGCTCAAAATGCGTGTTTAAGGAAATGAACAAAGCTCAAAATGCGTGTTTTGGCAAATGTACTTAGTATCTGATTCGGTTACATTAAAATTGCTCATTTTTTAATGAATAAACTAATGGATCCTATAAATTTGTATTGTGACATCGTTCATTTGCTCAAGTCACTTACTACATTTTATATTCTTTTCTGAAAGGATATTAAAAGTCAACATTTCTTTTTACAAAGTCACGGGTCCTATAGATTTATAACAGTCATATGCAATAAAAGATTTTCATTCAGTGATTTGAATACTAATAAAAGATGTCTTATGAAAGATGTCCAAAAGTTACATCTGTGATATATCCGACTCCGAAATCCGAAACTCTTAATGTGTCAATAAGAAGAAAAAGTAAGTACAATTTCTTTGTTTATTTGTTAAATCTGGATTGAATGTGAAAAAAAGCGCAGTTTTTTTTACAGTCACCATTTTCTAAAACGCGCATTTCGAGCTGTACCCATTTTCTTAAACAAGCATTAGGATTAGTGACTTTTTTCTTAAACACGCATTTTCAACTGTACACATTTTCTTAAACACACATTTCGAGCAGTGTATATTTATTTAAACACGCATTTTGAGCAGAGTCTCTTTTCTTAAACACGTAGTTCAAATTTTGTCTATTTTTCTTAAACACGTGTCCGTTTTCCTAAACAAGAATTTTCAGCGGTGCTCCTTTCTTAAACACGCATTGTAAATTGTGTCAATTTTCTTAAACGCGTATTTCGAGCTGTGTCCGTTTTCTTAAACAAGCATTTTGATTAGTGACTTTTTTCGTAAACACGCATTTTCAACTGTACAAATTTTCTTAAACACACATTTCGAGCAGTGTATATTTATTTAAACACTCATTTTGAGCAGAGCACTGCTGAAATAAGCATTTTCAGCAGAGCTCCTTTCCTAAACACGCATTTTAAACTGCGCCCTTTTTCTTAAACGTGCATTTTGAACTGTGTCCGTTTTCTTAAACATGTATTTTACACAGTGACAAACTATTAGAATGTGCCTATATTCTTAATACACATTTCGGGCAATAAAAAGCTCGCCAGTGCATTATATTTTTTTATAGTTTTTATAGCATTATTTTTTCGACTTATAGAATATTGGAAAAACAGATTGGATAAGTATGCTGAACCAAAACACTATGACCAACTCCAGTGGATTGAAAGAAAAGAAAATCATTGGAATAAAAACCTTAATTATTTTCGCTCAAATTCATATTTTATATCTTAGTACTGTAAAATAAAGACTTTTAAGTTTGAAATAAAAATTTGTTTAACTAATTAAATGTAGAGTGTATAAAGTTCCATTTTTCTTACACAGAGTTCAGCAAGTTTTTAATTATATGAAGTTCTTTTTTTAAAAAGCATTGTACATCGAAGCAAAAATATAATCACATGTCTTTAAAGAAACTCTATTCCAATAAAGGCAGTACGAAAAAAACACTATTTTAGCAACTTCTTTTCAGACATCATGTGTTATTTCTTTGGGAATATATTACTGAAAATGTTTTTGTTTTTGTTTTTTTTTCTTAATAAAGGGGGGATTCGGGCCGCTTTGACTGTTTGGTAATGACTGGGAGTGACCACTGATGACGATAACGCCATCGTCATCAGTGGGCGGATCGGTGACGAATCAGGATATTCAGAAAGTTTAAAATATCAAGCAAAAAACCGGTGATTTTCCTTGTTTGCCATCATAATTTTAGCTTCTGGCTATCTAAAGCTTTTTTACTTTTTAGTTTTCTAGTGTTGTATTTTTTTCCATTTAATTTGCTTTCTTTTCGCCAAATCTTTAAAAGAAAGCTTTGGTGAAAGAAATATTTTAAACTTCAGCATCAGAAATGATTATAAAACATTACAGAAGTGAGTTTTATTTTAGCTTTGTTAATTTCGAAATTTACCACAATATTATGATAAGTTCAATAACCTCAGTTTTCGAAATTTTCTGTAAGTTAATGTAAAATCTTTCGGATAGCTGCTAATATGCCAAGGTTTTCATAATCCATTCAAACTTTACTATGTAAACAAATAAATAAAAACGTCTCATCGCTAGAAATGATGAAATTATAGGCAGTTTATTATTAGACAAGGCACTTGTGATGTCATATGCGACTGTGAACCGGACTCTTACCACTTAACTTTTACCTTTAACTTTTTACCACTGAATAACTCAGCGTTTTACCACAGCAAAGGACTCAATGACTGGAATCTTCTTGATCCCATCACCTCGATTGCGATTGCCCAAAGGTTTTTGCAATGAAGCCATTAAATTTTTTCTAATGTGCATGAAAATATATGCTAGAAATAAATGAACGCGAAAAATAAACATATGAATAAAAAAAACTGTAACAGAGAAAAAGAAAAAATGAGACTGCATACTTTGTAAAAAAATTTAGTTTGTCTCCATGCCAAAAATATTTGCTACTACTTTTTTTCGCAGCGTTAAAAATATTTTTGTAACCCCAATTTAAGGGTTTTTTCCTGCAATATTTATTATTCTTATCCTAATGTCCTATTATTGTTACTTTTCGATTTTGACTCTTTTCGAAATTAAGAGCATATAACTAAATGAGTTATTATAACGATGATATTTCCTTAATACGCTACATTTTAAGATAAGCTTACTGAAATCAAAATCTAAATTTATTGACATCTTACGATTTGTTTTATTTTTTGATGTAAATTACATAAGTTACTGTTAAAGAGAATCGTTAAATGATTTAGACCTTAATGATCAGTTCATGCACAGATTTTATTTAATACATCTTCCTGTTCTGCAAGCAAAAATATTAAACGTTATGAGCTCACCACATTTGTTATAAGAGTAAACATTTAATTTTAAATGTTATTTAAAAAAAATGATTACTGTTTGAACGTGAGAAGCGCAAGCAATCACAATTCTTTTTAGTTCGCATGTACGAGAGTTGTTTCAACTTTCTTACAAAAAAAGTGTTTTATGCCAAAAGTGTATAAAATTATAATAAAAAGTTCTGGTACACTGTCTTCCGGTACTTTTTAAATTAAAATTGATTTTTGGCGTAAAATTTTATGGAACAAAAATATATCATAGCGTACTTTTTTACAGTAATGTTTGCTTTAAAATCCCCGTAATTAAATAAATATTAGTGTAAAAACTGCGGTATAAAATTTGACGGTAAAAATGAATATTATGGTATAATGAATTTTACGGCTACTGCACTATAAATGCCAGTACATTTTGCCGTAGTTTAATCCGGAACATCTTACAGTGAAGAAATATCAATTGCGAAACTATTACAGGTTGGTGAGGGGCAGTAAACAGAGGTCTGCCCCCCCCCTATTCCGAATTATTTATGTCCTCTAATATATCTTAATAGAATCCAAAGGGAAATGTTTGGACGTGAGAAGCTTAAGCAAACGTAATTCTTTTTAGTACACATATAAGGGAATGGTTTCAACTTTCGTAAGAAAATCGATGTTATACCGACACTTTACGAAATTCTGGGTAAAATTACGATAAAAATTAATGCCAAACTGAGTGCTTGTATCTTTTACCGTGAAATGTTATGGAACAAAAAGCATAATATAGCGTAATTTTTATAAGATTTACAGTAAAATCACTGCAATTAAATAAATATTACTGTAGAGACTGAGACTGGAGTATAAAGTTTCAAGGTAAACGCAAAATTTATGTATTTCAAAGATGCACTCAGGGTGCCAATACAGCCCTGTACTGTTATTTGAAATTTTATCCGGAATTTTTCACAGTGAAATGTGCGGTGGTGGGAAACGCAAGCAAACACATTTTTTTTAGTGCAATATAAGTGAATAGATTCAACTTTCGTAGAAAAAACTGTTTTATGCCAACCGGGGGAAAAATTCCGATAAAATAATTTATTATGAAAACAAGAAATAATTGATTTGCCTTATCTAGTAGGAAGCGGAGTTCTTTCGTTCATTTATAAGAATTTACGTAGCATCATTTATCTAAACAATGGAAGAATATACGTAAGAGAGAAGGAGAGGAAAATTGGAAGTATTCAAAGGTAGAGGAATTTTTTTGAGCAAGATGAAGCCGCAATAATTGAGATGGGTTAAAATAGGCTTGAATATTGGGTTGACCTCGTGTTATCTAGTGGCGGCAAGTACTGGGATCATTAGCTTCATTTTACTTTGCTTTGTAACGCTGAACAGCTGACCCAAATTTGAGTTTACGGCTACCAATGTTCATCTCCGTAGCCTTATTATTTTGAACCCAATCCAGATGACAAGGGAACTCTGGGATCAGGTTTTGGAAGAAATTTGACATCGGAGGACTTTTTGATCGACCTTACAAGCTTTTGCGTTACAAAGAGAGGAAAACTACGCCAGGAGTGCATGCTGAGTGCGGAATACATAACGACCAACCATCGCTGGGATTCAAGTTCGGCTCACCTCATTGGGGGGTGCATGCTCCCTCCTCTGAGTCTCCAAGCTACATTTTATTTTATTTATTTATTTTATATCCATCTTGATCAGCTGACCCAATTTTAGGCTTACGACTTCTAATCAAAACTTAACCCGTCTCGCCCCCGTCAGGGGACATCCGGGGAATACTGTAGACTCAAAGTGCGCGCACGTGGTTTCTCAGCAAGAAAAAATAAGATTTATAAAGGTAGGCTTGGTAACGATTCATGCCAACACGTCGGAATAATGGGCAGGAGAGACAAAAGCAACTCCAGGGAAAATCCTGGTTAATGTAGGCTGGGCGACGCGAAGCGCAGAACATCAACCTCACCAAGATCTAAAAATACTCTCTCCCAACCAAAAACGCCGCAAAGATTTTAGTGAATCCTTTGCGGTCTTCTGGTTTTACGACTACTAATATTCAATTCAGTAGCCTTGTAATTTTGAACCCAATCCATAAGACAAGGGAACTCATGGATCAAGTATTGAGTGAAATTTGCTTTCGTAAAGGACTTTTGATTGAACTAACCCGCATTTGCTTTACACGGAGAGAGAAACCACGAAAACCTCTGAAACTCCCCATGCTTGATAGCAAGAGGCTCTAACTCGTGATCCGCCTACCACTGAGGATATTTTTCGGCCTCAGTGAAAGGCAAATGTTCTCTTCCCCGAGCCAACAAGTTTAATTTAAAAAAGTACGCGAATAAAATAGAATTTAAAGTATCGAGATATTGCGCTAAGTCTGAAGAGCAAAAAAGTTTTGGCACTGAGGGTCACAAACCCTAACGGAATAAAAACAGATCAAGAGGCTCAGATATGTTAATATGCGGTTTAAACAGGGAACAGCTAGGTATTGTAGACTTGCAACATTCTTAATAGAAAATTCGAACATCACGTTACTTAAATTTAAAATCGGGACGACGTTCGGTTAGCCCAATGAAATCCAGATTGCAAAGACAAAATACACTAATATGTTAAATGCAAGCGATTGATGTTCTGTGAAGTTGTTATTTTGCAGATTTCAACTTAACGCAACACTTTTAACGAGCTTAAAAGAAATCATCATAGCATCGAGAAAATTAAAACTGACGAATAAAATTTCAAAATAGCTTTACTTTCAAACTCTAAGTTCTCAAGAACAATTAGATTAATTTCGTTCAAATTCTGCAGAATGTCATTTAAAATTACATAAGCGAAAATGGTGCAAGAATTAGAGTACATCATAATTCAAAAAATTTCCAACCATCATTAAATAAATATTAAAAACTAATAAATAATTATTAAAATATGTTTCTTATATGGAATTATCTTTTGTTAAGCAGATTTCATATTTCCATGCATAAAATTCACTTAAAAAATTGCAAATATCTAGCTAAATGCGAAAAGAAAGAAAATATAAAATAAATGCATGTTAACTTTCCACTGCTTTTCTGCCTGAATCATTTCCACACCCCGCCCCCCTATATTTTGATACTCCGAAATCCACATCGTCAGTGAAAAAGAAGTATAATTCAGAGAAGAAACTTTCTATGTCTGATTCCGAAACTAAATTCATAATTAGAAAAAAAAATTATTTACCATAAAATTAGTCAACATTAGTTAGAAAAAAAAATTAGTCAACCTCTTAAACCATTTAGATTGTCACATGACTTCTAATGGCAACATAGGAGTAACCATGACCAGCACTCTAACTCTGGTGATCTTAATACAGCTCTTTCCTCTTCTCACAAAACATCAGTAAATCAACTAAAAGTGACCGTTCATCGAATTCTATAACAGATAGTATTCTGGTGGAAATTA